TGAGGTTTGGTAATGAAATTCAAAAGAACACATACAATTCTCTTCCATTTATATTGAAATTGGAGCCTAAAGTGAAAGCACATCAAAAGTCTAGAGGACATTTAGCATCTGTGGATCTAGGCTATAGCTAAAGCACAAGCTGTGTGTCTGCATTCGTTCTGGTTGCTAGAGTTCACCTAATAGCTACTTGGTCTGGCTGTTTTTTTACTTAGCCTTTTAGCTTTCCTGTTGGTATTGAAATTGCAAGCCTGTTGGTTGTATAATTTTAACTTTGAATGCACATGCAAGACAGGGATTTGATCCTTGGCTTGCTGTTCAAGCCCAGTGTCTCAGTATGGTGAAAAGCATCAATTATCAGAAACTTTCCTGGCAAATGAGCAACATCTTCCCACTGAAGTCAATTTTGTTTGACATTTTGGGGATTAACCCAGGATTGACATTTGCACTCTTCCCATGGTGGTGTATTTAGCTGGTGTTCTTGGGAACATCATCTCTAAGTGTATATCATATGCTTCTTCCTGCCTCTCTCACTGGAGGTGGGTGATAATTTTAGTGGAAAGGCTTTGGGTGCTGACAGGTTGATGCAATGGTAAGTTATGAGCCTCTACAAGTGGGGAATACAGGAGAAGGAGTATTCTAGCGCCATAGTGGTTAGACCCTCCCTGGGCCTGGACCAGAGGTAGGAAGTCAGCCAGTACAAGGTGGAGTATTGGAGGAAGAGAAAGCAAGAGCCGGGCAGAGAATGCTCGTCTGCGAAAGAAGGAATGGAATGGACAAGCAGAGAGCCCAGTGAGATGTCTGGAGAGGAGGGATGGAATGATCAGGGACTTGTCAGACCTCTGAATGTTCTTCACCATAAATCTCCCTGCACCTTGGTTGCCTAGAGTGGTTTTCTGTTCCTTGCACCCAAGGGATCTTTAAGCAGGGTATCTGAGGAATTGGGATGTGTTTGCATTTTTATATATCTTGGATTGTATTTTCTTATTTAATTTCTTATTTAATTTTTTAATTTTAGCCTGTTAATGTTTAGTATGAGCCTTTTAAATTCTAAATTTAAGTCTTTGGAATTCAGAATTGAAGTCTGAATTCTGACTAAGCTCTCCTAAGACACAGGAAGGGAAGGAGGCCTCTAGGGGAGCTGAGTGGAGCAGCAGTAGTGGTATTGGCTGGGAGAAGCCTGAGAAGAGAGAAATTCCGAGTTACCAGGCTCTCCTCAGGTCCCTGTCAACTTCATCATCTTTCAAGTGCTTGTCCTTGATGGGTGGTCCCTTCTTTGTAGGGCCTCATGTCCTCATCATCATATGAAGAGGCAAAACCAGGAGTTCTCTGAGACCTCCAGGCTTTGTGACTTCAAGACATGGGGGTGATTCCAAGTTGGAGTGAAGAGGTTGTGGAGGTTGATTTTGGTTGACCACTTGACTGGATTGAACACACTTCTGGATTTGCCTATGAGGGTGTCTCTAGGCATGATTGGCATGTGGGCCAGCAAACTGAGTGGGGAAGACCCACCCTGAACCTAGGCAGCACCATCCCATAGGCTGGTGGTCCAGATGTAGTGAAAAAGCAGAAGGGAGAAGAGTGAATGTGCACACTCGACCCATCTTGAGCAGGCACTATTTGTTTTTTTTTTTTTTTTTTTTGCTGCTGCTGTTGCCCATGGACTTCAGACTCCTGATTCTTTAGCCTTTCAATGTGGACTCTTGTCAGCAACTCTTCAAGAAGCATTCAGGCCTTTGGCCTCAGACAGGGGCTGCATGACTGACCTCATCCCACATACTCCTGCTTTCATGTTCTGAGGTTTGCAGATTCTTGGACTGAGTAGCTACTGGTTTCCCTGTCTCCCCAGCCCTCAGATGGCCCCTGTGAGGACTATTCTGCCTCTGTTGGTACTCATCTATTAAAAGCCCTCTTTTTTTATATATATATTTATTTTTTAGTTCTCGGCGGATACAACATCTTTGTTGGTATGTGGTGCTGAGGATCGAACCCGGGCCGCACGCATGCCAGCCGAGCGCGCTACCGCTTGAGCCACATCCCCAGCCCTTAAATGCCCTCTTTATAACTATAATATTCTATTGGCTCTGTTTGGAGAAACCTCCCCGGAGGACAATAGAATCTTGTGAGAACCCAAAAGACCATAAGAGGAATCAGATTCCCAACCAGCCAAGCTTTTCCTTTTTGAGGAACACAGACCCCAGTTCTGCACCTGCCTCTAACCCTTTCCTGCTCCACTCCCTTCTTCTACACGTACGAACACATTTCATGAAAAAAGGATTAAGGGAGCTGCCTAGGTGAGAAAGACGGGCACCTGAAATCAAAAGTGATTTCAACTGGATAAACATGTCTCCCCTTCAGCCTCATCTTCAGCCTCATGGGCTGCCCTCTGATCTACTTAGTGTCTCACATTGCACAGTTGGATGTGTAACCTCAGCACAACTCCACCGTTTCATCAGGGATCATCCTGCTTAATCGGGACCCCAAGACTGGAAGGAAGGAGGAAGCAGCTCACCAGCCCAACATTCATTTGCTGGATGTCTTCTGCATTCAAAGCCACTTGCTGAATTGCAGGAAGCCAGAACCGGCAGAGCTCTAATAAATCATCTCCTGACTGCCGGACTTAGAGGCGGCAGCATCTACATGGAGAGGTTAAGTGACTCGCTTAGGGTCACACAACAGAGCCAAGGCCAGAACCCAGGTCTCCCGTCAGCAGTTCATGGTGCTTTCTTCTCCACACCATTGCCAAGGCAAGGTGAAGATGATGGATTAGTTCATGTGAGCGTGAAAGGGAGGAAAACACACACATTTCCCTTATGTGCTTTAAATTAATAAGGACCCTGGATGGAAAACAAATGCAGATAGCCAGGAATGTTTAACAAGTGAAACTGAAAAGCATGAAAGTCAATTCTTTCTTGCAAATGGTAATTGTGTTAGGAAAAGCAGAAGAAAATTTAGGGGGGATGTCTTAGTCTTTGAGTTGCTATATGGAATACTACAGGCTAGGTAATTTATTAAGAAAAGTTCCTACAGTTCTGGAGGCTGAGTAGTCCAAACTTGACAAGCCCACATCTGGCTAGAGCCTTTGTGCTGTATCATCCCATGGTGGAAGGTGGAAGGGTAAGACAGTTCAAGAGAGCAAGGGCAAGAGTAAGGGGGGACCCAACAAACTTGCTTCTGTAACAAACCCACCCTTTGATAATTAATTGGTTCTGTGGATAATGCATTAATCCATTCCTTTTGACCTCTTAAAAGTCACACCTCCTAGTGCTGCTGCATTGGGGATTAAGTTCCCCCCACATGAACTGGGGGCACATTCAAATCACAGCAGGGGAGAAGGAAACTTCTGGTTTTCCTTCTCTGCCATGTTTGCTCTTTAATTCACATTCTCATTTGCACACAACATTCTCCTTATGCTATTTTTCTTTTCCTTGACATATTCAGCACCTTATTTTCATACCATACTATAAATCTTGGGATATACAAGCTTTTAAAGCAACAATTTTTAATGCAAGATAACACATGAAGCTTTGAACCTCCCAAGAAGAATTGACTAGGGACATCTGTTGTTAAAATACTTACATTATCTCCCTGTGGAAAAGCCTGATATCTATTTTTTTTTTTATCTTAAAACGTGTAATACTGGAATGAAAATAGTATGGCATTTTGAAAACAAGAAAATAACATCAACAACAAAAATACCCTTCCCCCAAACCCTTCTTTTCTTATTTCAAGTCAAGAGCCTCAAGATAGATCATTTGACATCAAGAAGTGGCATTTGCAGCAATTAGTTATTTTTAGATAACTGACTACATATTAATGCCAGTTAACTAATTTTTCCTGATAGGAACAGAAGATAGAACTAAATGTGCTATTGAAATTGAATTCTAAAAATATAAACCTTGTAGTTTTTCTTTTAAAGCACTTTGTTTATTTTTCTTGATAGCCTGAAAATAAATATCCTAATGTCTTTGATACACATCTTCATTTAAAATGTTTTCCAGAAACCTCTGAAGGGTCTGGGGTCCCTTTGGGTGCTGTGAGGTATGGAAGCTTTTACTTTTCAGGCGTGAAGAAGCTGTGGCTAGAGCTTTGGGGCAAGAAGCATCAAAGCCTTTGTTAGTTTCCACTTCCAAGGGCTAAACTGCAGATCCGGGTGTGGGAGTGGGAATAGGGGGAAGGTCACCATGTGGTGCCCAAAGGTCCTTTGTGGAAGGCAGGATAATTATCTTGCTCTCACTAACTGCTCATCAAATGACTGCCTATTTGAAATGTGAATCTTGGATTTATGCATGTTCTCTCCCTTGATTGTTCATGATCTGTCAATATCTGTATATCTGTTTTAGGGAGAAACCTCTTCATATTTAAATTAAGATTCATTTATTATCCTAAACAACTGAAAAGAAGGTTGAGTTTGGAATGATAATATGACTCCTTAATTTCTAAGAAAAATAATAAAGCAGATTGGGGACAGTCACCTCCATGATCAGTTGAGTGATGGGGCCATAGCTCTCCACTCTTGTCCTTCCCCGTTGCCTGGTGAGCTTTTCTGGTATCAGTGCAGAGCCCCAGGGTGATATGGAGAAAAGAGAAAGTGCAACCTGAAGCACCTGCCCTCTAGGTCTTAGCTCAGGGTGCAGCCCCTCAAACAAATTTCCAATTGTTCAGGTTAAAAGAAGACTTAACCTTCCTCATCTACAGAAGAACAGAGAGGCAAAGGCTAGCCAAAGGCCACATGAGTTTGTTAGAGGCTGAGACGTGGACTGAGCTCTCCTTTTCCAAATAAATATTCTATGAATTATGAGTCCAAATGCTATTTACTCACAAACATTTATTAGCCTCTCCTTCCCTTCAGGAAAGCTAAGATTTCTTAAATGGCATACCAAAGGCTTCATTTACACTTGCATTAGGGAAGAGGACAAATCTATGCTCTGACATATTGGCACTGGTGATGGAAGCATGCAGCATCACTTGGCCTCTGGATTCAGAACATTCACTGCACTTACCCATACTGAACCACACCCATCAGAGGACCAGCAGGGCCAATGTCAAGGGCCTGGGCGATGTCAGCCAGGAATTGCTTCTGGATTTGGAATCGACGTTTGCCAATGCCGGAGCTTCCATCAATTAAAAATGACAAGTCTACTTTGCAGTCTGAGGAATGAAAAAAGACTCTATTATTCTGGTTCTCTCCCATTGTATCTACCTGGGGTTTGTGTTCCTTTCTTTCTCTGCTAGCCCCTGGGATCTCAAGGAGAAGAGAGTGGAAAAGAGGTAGTGGTGCAGATGTACTCATTTCTCTATCTCCTGACAATGGCCCAGAACACCAGGTCCTGGATACATGTGCTCACACCTGTTTCCATAACTGCTTTAGAACTCTCTGGATCAGATAGTGATACCCCTATCTAGCTTGGGAAAACCCTCAGAGTGGATTCCCAGGCTCAGATCATAGAAATGCAGACTCTCAGACATGGGAATTCACCAAAACTGAGTCGGAAAAACTTGTGGCCTTTTACTTTCATCTTAACTTTTTTGAAATATGTGTCTTTATAAGAGTGTGAAAGAACCTGCAAGCCCAGTGCTAAGCAGAGAGTAGGAACAGGTAGAGGCAATGGTAGGGTTGTAAGCTATTTTCAACTTTTCTAATGCTAATAGGAATCAGTGAAAAGCCACACAGGATATCAGAAATTAGTAAGTTTTTTTTTTTTTAAACTCTCCATTATCATCTCAGTTTGATAAAGTTGATTATTCAACACTGACCAGAGGTTCTTATTGGGAGCTGTATATCCCTATGATTTTAAAAAAAATGAAGAATGAATTATTAAACAATTGCAGTTTGGGAGACGAAAATATTTCAAAACAGAGTTCCATATAAAGAAAAAAAAGAGAGAGAGAAAGGAATTTCTGGGCTGGAATATCCAAGAGAACATGGAGACTCATACTGTCCTTGTGGGTGGGGATCAGTCGCCCACGCAAGCCTGCATCTCCCTCAGATGGGCGTGATTGCCCATGTTCTCTACACCATATGCTGCTGTGGGACTGCAGTCTCCCCATCTCTAGGGGGAGAGGCTCCATAAGCAGGTTATTATTTGAAATGGAAGCAGTAAGTGAACATGAGTTGAGTTTCAGGTAGGAGAACTGATATGAATATCTATGGATGGGTGACACTGCAGTCTACGGATGAAAGAGGAAAGTTATATCTGAGAATGTGTTTTATTATCTTGCAGTGACTGCATGACAGCCAAACCTAGAGATGATTTTGAGAAGAAGGAGATGACAGGGACCTCTCTGGGTCTGTCTGTCTCTGTTCCATCTGGAAGCAGGGCCCTGCTCTGTGCCCTGGCTCATCTGCAGATCTCAAAACTTTCCCCTCTGCTCTGCCCGCACTGGATGTTCAAGGCCTATCAATATTCGTGCTCGGCTGGCTTCCCCTGTCCTCTGCTGCCCCTCAAACTGCCTATATCCAAACATGATCTATGACATGAAGATTAGAAGAAGTAAATAAAGTCAGATGTAGAATTTAAAGATATCACTAAATCCTGGGATAAAGAGAAGTAGTACTGCTGTGCGGCTTCTTGTGTGGTGGTTCCTCCAACAGGGCCAACTCACTTTCCTAGGTAAACCTTGCAATGTAAATTATTGCCAGAAGGTGGCAGTGGTGTTCTTCAGGGCTTGCCGCCCACCAACACGGAGGGTTGGTTAGAAATGTGGACCTTCGGACACTCCATTCAAATCTACAGAATCAGATCTGCATTTTAATAAGATCCCCAAGTGATTCATGGACACAGTAAAGTTTGAGAAACACTCCTTAACATGGATTTTTCTTCCAATGTCAGCAGATTAGTTCAATATGCCTTTTAAAATAACTTAAAACAACAGTGAAAATATGGGCTAAAGGGGAATTTCTTCCATTTTTTTTAAAAGAAGAAAGTACATGATAATTTTCCCTTCTTATTTCTTTACATCTTGAGCTATATACAGGATGACGGCAGTCATTTCATAGCTAGGTGTTACGGAAGTGACATATTTCTCTATTTGCTTAGTTCTCTACTTCCCTGGCCTGAGGGTGGATACAGGGTTGATGCTTAGGAAAGATTGCTCCCCTTTTCCAAGATGTTTTAATGACAATGGCTCCAGCTTATGGCAAATGCTGGTTAAGACCTGCTGGCTCTCTCATATTGCCATGAAACCATGCTGATCTGAAGATGACTGATGAGTAGAACTGGGCTGTGGAATGTTCAGTGTGAATGATTTTTTATGATCACAGAGAACAGAGTTTGGAGGACGAGAAAGAAAAGGTAAAATATAATGTCTACAGGAATCAATGATTTTTTAATGATTTTTAAAAATTGCTGTGGTCCAATTCTGCATGGTACAATTCCATAGATTAATGCTTTGTATTGCCCAATATATCAGGCCAGAGTTTCTTAACCCTGGATACTTATCAGAGTCATGTATGTGTCAGAGTTGCGTATGCTGCTTCCATAAATGATGATGCCCAGGACTTACTCTGGGTAGTGCTTCTCAAGGCTTAATGTGCAAAGAGATCACTTGCAGGTATCACTTGTAGAATCAGTAGGTCTGAGGTGGAGCCTCAGATTATACATTTGTTATAAGCTCCTGAGAGATGCCAATGCTGCTGGTCCCCAGACTCCACGTGGAGTAGCAAGGTATATGGAGAGTCTGACATAGTAGGTGAGGCTTTAGAAAGCAGAATATCTAATTTTAAAAATGTTTTCAGGTGGTTCTCACATGCAGCAGAACAGATTCACAGGCCACTGGTGGCTGACTGGTAGACATTTTCTAGAGAAATCTGCAAGTGCTTTCTTTTGGTAACTTTCAAGATATTACACCTTTCCGGTTTTCTTCTCTTTCTCTGGTCCTTCCTTCCTGGTATTTTCCAGTGTCTTCTCCACCTAATGCAGTTCATCAAGTTCAAGTCCTCTATTTCTTCCTTATCTCCTTTGGTCACATTTTCTGTTTTGAATCGTATTTCTTTATCTTCCAACTCTAAATTTCTTTTGTTTATTCTCACGCATCTTAATAACTATTTAACATTCATGATGACGATGAGGAGGAGGAGAACTAGGAGGAGGATTATTCTTTGAGAAAAAAGGTCAGAGTACTAAGTGGTAACCTGGGTTCCTTAGCTCTTGTGGAAGCAGTTTGGTGTGTGTGTAGCTGTTCAACTTGGTGTGTCCATGAGAACATGATCACCAGAGGATCTTACCCAGTTTTGCCAGACTTGCTCTAACCCCAACTCTAAATATCTGACTGGGCTGTTCCAGTCAAATATTGGATTATCTCTTAGGCTGAGTGTCTCATGGACAATCAGAGGAGAGACAAATGATCTCCCAGCTTCCAAACCCGCTCCATTCTGTGTTCCTCATTGCAATGCCATTTACCTAGTTATTCAGATCATTTTTAACTGTTCCCTCTCTCTTTTTCCACCCCAACCCTATAGATTCTTCCTTTTCTACATCTCTTGAATCTGCCCATTTCTCACCATCACCACTCCCAATTCCAAGCCAGCTGCCATCACCTCCGTGATACCACTGCCCCTGCTGATCTGCCTGTCCATTCCACTTATTCATCCTTGTCTCCCCAATTCCTTGCTATTCTTTACCTTGTTACCATAGCAATATTTAAAAAAACTGGATCCTCTCCCTCTCGTGCACACAGTTGTTTAAATCTTTCAAAAGTTTCCTTTTCTTCTTAGAATGAAGTGACAGAAGAGAGGAGATAAATAGATCCATGGTAGGAGAAAGGCAAGTTTGGGTGGGAGTGAGTAGGTAGAGAAGAGAGAGAACAGATCAAATGTCAAAACTGTCATGGGTTGCTAGTTGTCAATTAACTTACTTGGATCTCCCTGGGATACCGGCTCCGAAGACTGTGTGCTTAATTCTTCTTTTGGAATAAATCCTGGAAAGAACAGTAAAACTTTTGGTGACTTACCAGCACAGGAAACATCTGGCCTGATGCCAGAGACAGGGACAGAGTGGATATTCATGCTCAGCTCAGGGGCTTGGCTCATTCTTCTCTACACTACCGCCCCCGCCCCATTCTGAGAAAAATAAGAGTAAATTAATATTTACCGATAGTCTACTAAAGATAGTACTCTGTTGGGGGGTGGGGCGGAGGATTGAAATCAGGAGACTTGAGATCTACTCTTATTTTAACTTATTCTATTTGAGTCTTAGTTTCCTTATCTTAACTGATTCGATTTGAGTCTTAGTTTCCTTATCTGAAAGCATTAAGCACTTTGCAAGTACAAATGACCCTTCTGTAAAATTCTGAACATCTTGAGGTCAGGAAATGTGTCTGGCTTATATCAACATGTAGTGATTGAGGCAAAAAAAAAACCAGAGATGAGTAAGACACAGAGGGCAATCTAAAGATGGTTGGATATAGACTAGAGGGGAAGAGCTCAGAAAAAATCAAATAAGAGGGTGCAGGATGCATCCTCTCCACCCAAAAGCTTGGAGGTACAGACACAAACATGTTCTTGCTTGGAGAGGCTGCATGTAAGGTGAGTTCACCCTGGCAGAGGTGGGGGTGGTTCTTCAGAGCCATTTACTTGGAGCCAAATTCACAAGTATTCCATTCAAGGAAATAAAGGCAATAAATGGGAATTCTCTCAAGCTTGGTGAGACCAATGAGTTTCCCAGGCAGAGCAAATGCACAGCATCAGAAGTAGGCCTCCCTGTTTCCAGGATGCCTGGAAGCCCTGTGAGGAAGGTGCTGGACTCTGCCCTTGCTCCTCGCTGCAGTGTGCTTTCTCCTGGCCCTCCTGGCTTGTTATTTTTTCCAGTTTGCGAAGCACATGATTTCATCTTCCCATTAAAGGTCAGCTAGCCCACCCTACTTCTTCACATCATTTAAAATTTTCTCCTTGGGTGTTTAACAGCATTTCTCTGCCAGGAAAAAACCTCTGGGGAAACACACCAAGGCCCTACTTGGTAAGGAGGGGGAGAAAAACAAGTTCAGGGATGGAGTCCTCTCCATTGGATTCTATCAGTAACATCTTCCTTTCTACCAAGAGCTGGAAGGCTCTGTTTGCTGGAGTTTCAAACATTCAATGCAGAAAACAACAAGACCCACTCAGGTGAGGGGAAACCTGACAAGGTGTGATCGGGAGGGAATGAGGGTCTGAATGCATTTTGGAGTGGGCAACCAATTCCCTTCTGGCTTTTTGTCTTCGTATTTCCTTTCTTTTCTTAGCCCCTTACTCCAGGCCTCCCTAGTTGAGGTTTCAGTGTCCTCCACAGGACCTCAATGTCCCAGGTGGAGGCCATTACAAAGGCTGCTCTGGATCAATGGGCTTCTCCTGCCACCAGCTGGACTACTAGATCCTCCTGGTCTGTAATCCTGTGTCTCCATACAGCCATGCAGAGAGGTTGGTCTGTATCATTACCTGCATCTAAAAGGACTGATCCAGGCTTCCACAAGTCTATTTCTCCTGATTTTCAAAATTAAAAAGAAACAAATTTGTTATTTAAACCAACCCAGCAAAAACACTCAAGTGAACGGCCGGGCTGATGTTCCTCAATCGTGGCAGAAAGATGAGTGAAGGAGAATTCTGGCACCAGAATTTTTGATGAAGGAAAATGTGTGTGTGATTATCTCATTTAAAGCTCTGAAAGCCAAAGACGTAAACATCACCGTCTATTTATTTATTTTCTTTTATTGGACACCAAGAATAATGGCACAGGAATCCTAGGATTCTAAAGGACCTTAGAAGCTCATCTAGTTCAGAGCACCCTCTCAGCCTGCTCCTACAACATCCCTACCAAGTACCTGGCTGGTTGGTGCTTTAATATCTCCAGAGACAGGAAACTCATGATATAGCCAATAAAAGTAGGATTTATGTTTATTCTTTCTTGGATTATTGAGACTGTGAGAAAGAATTTCATTGTAGCAATCTGAAACCTTTTGACTTGAATCTTTTTCCATCTATCAATTCATCCATCCACCCCACCCCACACTTATTAAGCACTCAGTATGTGCTTAATATTTTAAGTACATCTGTCCCACCTGTTTGAATTCTCTTCCTTAGAACTACACAGAGCTAATCAGGCCTTTCAGGGAGCAGGCAGTTAGTTCACTTGTTTTTTGAGTTTCAGCTCCTTATTGTGTGCCTTAAGCGGAATACAGCAACTTGGCACCTGGATTCTACCTGGGACAAGATGTTCACTGTCTTTCACCACCATCTGCTGATGACGCAGAAAGGGTAGAGGGGAGGGGGCGATTCTTACCAAATAACCCTTGATCCATTTGGGGGATTGTTGTTGAGAGAGGCTCAGAGGCAACACAAACATGTCAGGGAACCTCATAAGAACCCAAAGATTACTGTCCCCCCGGCCCCAGCTCTGCCTCCTTTCCTCTCTTAGAAGGCTGAGCACATGACCAAGTGCTTCATTTCTTAAAGCCTATTCACTTTGCAACTGGCTGAAGTCATTAACACACTCCAAAGAAGAAATCTTTTTTTAGTATGTGATTAAGATGCCGGGCAATTCTGAAGGGCAATTTGTTTTGCACATTCTAGTTTCATGGTGAGACCTGTTTAACTGGACTCAGTCATTACCCAGGTGTGTGGCCTTGAGCAAGTCATGTACCCTCTGTTGTGGACCTTAATTTCTTAGTAAATAACATTAGCAGGGTGGACGAGATGGTCTCCACGTTCAAAATATTTATGATTTAAACACTCTTGCTTCTTTAGCTTTATTACTCTATTGCCACCTACTGGTGAAGAGATACTCTGCTCTTTTCCTAAAAATTGGTGCTGGTAGCCTCTGTCTTTTCTCAAGCCTCCTTTCTTTAAATGTCATGAAGATTAGAATTTATAATTCTGGGTGCTCTAATATTTTATCAGGAGGTAAAAAAAAAAACCTGACATCAGGGATTTCCAAGTCTCCTACTTCTTCTGGGAAACTGTCCTTCCATTAATGCTACTTTTGTCTTGTTTGGGACAAGTTTGAACCAAATCACCTTCATCTAAAAGCTGAGGGCTAAAAAATATTTGGACAGCTGAGACTTGGTGATTTTTGGACTTGGTAGTAATAACAAGTAAATTTGTGGGAACATTTGAGTTCTGGCATCAAGGAGGAACAGGGTGGTATGGGAAAAGAAAAGTCAGAAGACCCATCCAGGGTCTGCCAATCCCAGGCTGGGCCTGGTTCACCCCACCTCTACAGTTCACCTGTGATTTTTTTCCTGAGGTCATAAAGACCTGTCCTTTCCTACCTCCCATGGAGGAGACTCAGAGGACATCAATGAGCATAAAATCACTCTAAAAAGTATAAAAGTGTAAGTCCCTCTTTAAAAAAAAAAAAAAGAAAGAAAGAAAAGAAAACCCAGGGAATTATTTTTGTGACAATCCTCACTTGGCCATACCATGACATATTCAAATCTAAGAAAAGTGTTGATTCTGAGCAATTTCCACGGTAAAAATGCAGAAACCACTAACATTTATCCAGAGCTTGCTTGGTGGGAGGCACACACACTGAATAAGTGTTAGATCACAATGACCCTGTGAGTTAGGTGCAGCTAAGATCCCTGTCTTATGGGAGAGGACACTGATGCTCAGGGAAAGGCAGAGCTGAGGGGTGAGCACCTGTTAATCACAGATGAGGAGGAGTCATTAGCTTCAGCATCTCGGGGTACTCGGTTAGACCACTGAAGAGCTAGGCCTGCCACAGCCACTTGTAGCTCCCACTAATGTGATTAAGTCTTCAAAAGGGCCTGGAACCTACCCTGGTCCTCAGAACCTAGCAATGAACTTTGTACTGGCTTTAGTTCCTTCTGTTCCTCTGCACATCTGGAAGTCACCAGAACAGGACCCAAGTGGGAGTTACAACACATGCCCCCTTAGGGCTTTTATGAGACAAGCCCTGGTGGCCCTTCAACTTCCACATTCTTCCCCACTGGGTCCCCTGGGGTATGGTTTTTATTATTTAAAAAAAAGGTTTTTTTGGTACTAAGGATTGAACTAAGGGGTGCTCAAGCACCGGGCCACATCAGCCCTTTTTGATTTTGACACAAGATCTCACTAAGTTGCTCAGGGCCTTGCTAGGTTGCTGAAGCTAGCTTTGATCTTCCTTCCTCTGCTTCCCGATTCACTGGGATTGCAAGTACACAGCACTGTTCCCAGCTAGGGTACAGTTTTGAGAAGAAGGTAGAAATCTGAAAGACAGGAGGCTTCTTGAGGGAGAGGACCTTCAGGCCTTTCTTCCCTCCCCTGGCTTCCTGTCCTGGGGTCTGCACCTTTCCCTTGAAAAACTTCCTCTCACTGCACTGACCTGGGAAGCATGAGAGAGCAGAGCCCTACAGCTGTGCCCAAGGCATTGCCACACCAGCAACCCACTGCATAGGGACTTTCAGAGAAGACTGGGGAACAGTCTGAGGTTCTGGATCAAGCCCTTCCACCAGCAAAGCATCAATAGTCCTTGTTTTTTAAGTGAATTACTCTCTAAGACTCAGTGTGGGATGTTTATTTGGGACCTGGTAACCTTTTCTCATGGCAGCAACATTAATTCCATGGTTAGGTTTCCAGGCCAGTGCAGGGTATCACGTGTGATAGTCCCACTTGAGTTCACAAAATCAATTGTACGAAGAGGAGTTTGGGGTCATCTGCTTCTAAAGAAGAAGACAGAAAATCCTAAGGACTTTATTAATTGCATGCTCAGAAAAAGATAAGCAAGGATGAGACAGAGCTCCCCCCAAGTGGATCCTGAGGTGTTTTAGGGGGAGAGCAGTTCTTTGGCACACAAACATTGTGCTCTGCTCTGGGTGCCCTGTTTCACGAATCATTTGCAGGCTACAGCATAGTTAAAGCATGTTCTGCCAAGTCATGTAAGGGCCTGTTGGAGGGAATGGAGAAATTTTTTTTTCTGGAAAAGATGAGACATAAAGTCTAGTTTTATGTATTTGAAAGGCTCTCAAATTTGAGAGATTCTCAGTTTCAGTCTCTCTATCCTCTTAGAAATTATTGAAGATCCCCCTTTTTGTGGGCTATATGTATTGATTTTTATTATTTAGAAATTAAAACCGTGACTTCTCTCATTTGAAATAAAGTATCGACTAACAATGTATTTAACTATTAATTCATTAAAAATAACCTTTTACATTTTATCATAAATCTCATTTTTTTTTTAATGGGAAAAAAGAGGCTGTTTTCCAAAACAGAAGCATTCAATGAAATGAATGGCTACTTTCTTCAAGGTATGTCATAATAGAAGACAGCTGGAATCTGACATCAACATCTGCAATCTGTCGTGATACACTGTTGTTGTTGAAGTATATGAAGGAGATCTGTCCTCATGCGGATGTAGTCAAAAGGAGGACCCCACAGAATCCCTGAAAGTAGGGTCCTTGTAGCACAGTCTGAGAACCCACTGGTTTAGACAAATTAGGAATGATGGACTAATTAGTTAACTAATTAACTAATTAGTGAAGAATAAGAATAAGGGTTTTCATGACTAGTTTAAGTCTTAGCACCTTCCTGCTAGGAATTCACGGGAGAGTCAGATGCTCAGAGAAAACATGTAGGGATGATGGTGAGGAGGGGGGGAACATGGGAAATGGGAAGGACTGGAGGGTGAAAAGGGAACTAAGAACCTCGAGTGGGTCAAGGAGTCTGGGTGTAATTACCGGGAGCATGAAGAAGACTGGAGAAGAAGCACACTCAGGTGAAACAGAGCGAGGATGAGAAAATTGGAAAAATGGGAGTGGAGTCAAGTATATTTGGCAGAATACAGCCTTGAAACATCCTAAAGGTTGTCAGTTAGAAATGGGAGAGGGAGGTTGTGTTTGTGGCCACCACCTACCCAGACACACTGATTCACGTGGTGTGTCTGCGTATTTGTGTTTTATTCCAGAGCCCAGCCTGGGGATGTGCCAGGGAGTACAGAGGCTCTTAGGTGGGGAACCTGGCAAGGGGACATAAAACAATAAGAGACCTTGGGCATCTGGGTTGGTAGAGATGTTCTGTATGATGTGCCCAGAACAGACAAAGCAAGACATTTTTTTCAAGGAAAATAACTTGGCATGTCCCCAAACTCTGGCGACCTGGAGTTGAGCTGCAGATGCCAAGAATGAGTGTGGGAGATCCATATGTGCAAATACTGCAGAGCAAGTTTCTAGAGGGTGGCGGGGGGGGGGTATGGTAGGCAGCGGGAGGCTCACCGAGGCTGACATCTGCTCCCATGGGATCCTGGAAGGCAGCTCCTGGAGAGTCCTGTTTTGGGGTACCTGAGGGGATTGACACAGGGTCAGCTGATTTTTACATGCAGCCAGCAACTGCTTTCTTCCCTTATTTTGCCCCCTAATGAAAGTGACCCTAGTTCAGATTTTCTTTGCAATCTGCCAAATGCTTTGTGGTAGGTTCACTTTGGGTTGTTGCAGAGGAAGCAGAAATCCTGGTCAAGGAGACAAGAGAAGAAAATGCCCTGGCTTGGTCTTCCAAACTGTCCCATGGGCCTGTTGAGGTCTCAGATGGTCTTGGAGATCTTGCCCTGGCCAGTGTCCTGATTCCTAAGCCTGTTTAAGCACACCATTGTGAAGTCCATGAATGTTGCTAGCCCTTACCAGGGAACCCAGGGAGCCCCTGTTCACATTTTATATCAAAACAAAACAGAACCTACAATTTCTAGGACTCTTTTAACATGTGGAGAGCAGATGACTTGTCCCCAGAGGAAGAAGACTGAACTATATTGTAGGCCTGGATTCTGATCCTACTGCCCTGTGACCTCAGTGCCTAGCACAGGTCCTGAGCAGAGTCTGTGATCCTGCTGTTTCCTTTCTGAATCTGTGCAGTCCTCTCCAGTGTTGCAGAGAAGAGAATTTGCTGCATTTCCAGTTCTAGGGTCGAACCACTAAAGAACTCCCAGAAGCAAAGAGAGGTGAGCCTAGGGGTCACGATTCAGAGGGAAATTCCTGAAGTAGAGAGAATGTGTTTCTATCCCTTTATTAGTTCCCCGCTCCCAGCATTGAATCAGGCAAATGCTGTACCACCGAGTTACACCCCCAGCCCCATCTATCCCTGTATTAGAGAAGTACCGAGCACAACTGGCTCTGCTCTTGCCTTACCATTTTAACAGAGTTCCTCAAGCATGAAGCCCATAAAGTATCCCTTTTCAGGTTTTGTAAGAGCCTAGTTAGGGATCCCTAGGGTTTTCTAAAATACCCTGCATGAAATCACCTCAAGGGAAGGAGACTGGCGAAAGGCCTTGTTTATTTAACAGCATCCTCACTTTCCTTACAGTATCTTCTAGTGGGCCTTTTGGTTCAATACTCTGTCCCACTCTAAATGAAAAGGCGAGGATTTGGAAATGAAGAACCCCCTGTAAAGAAGCAGCTAGAAAGACAGCTCAGGTTCTTATCTGGCTTGGCCCCATGACTGTTTTGTGTGCTTGTGTGTGTGTTTGGGGGGGAGGGGGGTGGCCAGAGATCTGTAATCACATTGGACTGGTCAGAGCATGAATTTTAATCTAACTGTTCTCATTCTTTCCATGAGCCAGCCTAGCAAGACAATACAAGGTAGGAACCAAGGAAAAGCCTTGTCCTTGGGCTCCTTGGGCGGTCTGGACCTGCCCTGCAGGAGACATTGAAATGGGGGGGGGGGAGGAGAACAAAAGAAAAAGAAGAAGAAGAAGAAAATGGATTAGCTCAAAACACTGACTGGAAATTCCAGGTACTAATAACCCTTGTATTTCACAATTGTCAAAGTAAGTTTCTTTTACTAAAGTGCCATATTTCTTTATCCTTTATTCTTAAAATAATTCTCGACTGTGCCACTCGTGGGGAGGTTAAAGTAATCCTTCAATAGAAATGTCACTTAACATTTAGCAATTTGCCTAAGCTGCATTAACATGGTATTGATGCAAATAGCATTAGCTTTCCGTCATTTTTAGAGGTACACAATGGTTATCCTTAATTACTCCATGAGAGAATCAAATCTACTTCAACACTCATTATTTATTGGGCAGTTTCTCTGAAGCAAGATTTTAAAAGGGAGTAGGGAGATGAAGGATTCTATAAAGAGAAACGCAAAGCCCCTGTTGTGGAAAAGGAGGCCACATAAGAGCCCGCAGAGGGAAACAACCATGTTTTATAGACAGAAAGATAGAAGAGGTCGGGGAAAAATATCAATTTCTCTTAGAACTGTATCTATCCAGTCAAAAATCTGACTCTTTTTTGTTTTTGTTCCAGTGATTTGACATGAAGTCAAAGTAGTTTTGTTTTGTTTTCTAATCATAAAGATAAGACAACAGGCTTGTTGTAAAAAAAAATTATGTACTATGCATAGTAGGAAATCCTCTTTTATTCTCTCTCCAGCAGTTTCTGGCATACAATTTTGGTATGTAGAGTTTTTTTCTCTGCCTTCATTCTCACCTCCAACACACATTTACCAGAATGGGAGAGGGACCCCCACGTTGCCTTGTCTCCTGCTTCCTTGACTGAACATTCTGGATAGAGAAGACTTCTCATGTCAGTATGCGCACATTTGCAGCAACATTTTCACAGCTGTGTGGTAACTTTATCCGATCTTCTAATGATGGATAATTAAATCATCTCCATTTATTTTTCTATTATGAACAACATCTGTGTCCATGATTCTTTTCACCCTTGGCTAATAATTACGTTAGGATATCATATTTTTGGAAGTGTGACTACGGGGTCATTTCTCCACACTCTGCAGCAAGCTGTGGATTATCAGTTTGTAGTGCAAATTGAGGGAAGAGTGGCATTTTGCTATTTAATTTGCACTCATTTGGTTCTTAGTGAAGGTTGAACATCTTTTAAAAAATACATTTAGGAGCCATTTGCAGTTCTACTGAAGCTTGCCTGGCCATGACCTTTCCCCATTTTTCTTTTGAAATGCTTATTTTTGTTTTTTTTTTCCCCCCCTTACTTTTGAAAGACTGGATTTTAAGAAAAACCTTTTCCAGACACTTTGGGGAAAATAAATTTCACAGGTGAGAGAAATGTCGGTGAGAAGGGAAATAGTAGGTGGAAGGACTAGGCTCTCCCTTTCCCAGTTTCCTGGTTTGCTCTTCTTGGTTGCCCTTGTCTAGAGGGTGGAGCAAAGGGTCATGCCATTGCAGTGCTTTACCACTAGGCTGCACTCTTCCTCCCCTTTCTGGTTTATTGGTGGTTGGGATAGACTGGCTAGATCAGCTGAGGCAACCTAGGCACGCAGGTCTTGAGATGGGAAAACTTAGAGGGCAGCCACTCCACCTTCTAAGCCTGTGAAGTGTTCACCTGACCCTTCAGGGGGGCCTGGAGGGACTTTCCATATTTCCCAGAACTCTTTCCTAAGCACAACTTTGGATCTGCTTTTTAGGCTGCTCCCTCTGGCTCTGGGATGCAGCATGGTGGCTGTTTGGCTCCCAGGGATACCAGTTCCACCCTTGACCTCTCCCAGGAGGAACAGCCTCAGTTCTGCCCCTGTAAGAAGTCTCTGTCACCCTGGCTCTTGGCTCCCTTACTCTTTCTCTCTTGTTTGGTTTGCATATTCATGGGTCAGTGAAGTGGCTGCAATGTGTCCAGCCTCACCTTTAATTTTTTAAAAAAAATTGGTGCATTATAATTACACATAAGAGTGGGATTCCCTGTGATGTATCTGTACATGCACAGAACAGAATTTGGTTGGTTTCATTCCCTGATACCTCCCCTTCCCCTCTCCTCCTCCCTGCCCACGATGCCCTTCCTTTCCTCTGTTGCCTTCCTTCTATTTTCATGAGATACCCCCAAGCCTTTTCCCATTTTTTCACTCTAGCTGCCACCTACAAGAGAAAACATATGACCTTTGACTTTTTGAGTCTCAGTCTTCTCTTCTTGGGCTAGGAGAGCCCCCGTCCATTTGCTTCCAAGTTTCTACTCTCCACCAGCCTCCTTTTAAGTTTACACGTCTTGATGAGAGGCTGCTTTTGACCTATCGTAGGGCAAAGATGACTCACAGATCTCAAACTCAGGTAGCTCCTGTTCTAGCTACACACTTGTCAGGTGTTCTAAGCTGACATGACCTGTTGCAGATATCTCAGTGGGATGTGCCCAATGTCCTAGAACAAACATTCGACATATATTTCTCTCTCTCTCTCTCTCTCTCTCTCTCTCTCTCTCTTTGAGGTACTAGGGATTAACCCCAGGGGCACTCACTGAGCTACATTCCCAGCCCTTTTTATGTTCTTTATAATTTTCAGACAGTGTCTTGCTAAGTTGCTGAGGCTGGCCTGGAACTTGCGATCCTCCTGCCTCAGACTCTTGAATCACTGAGATTAGTCATGTGTTGCCATGCCTTGCTCAATAAATATTTCTTTCTTTCATACACACACACACACACACACACACACACACACTCCTTTATTTAATTTATTTATTTTTGTGTGGTGCTGAGGATCGAACCCACTGCCTCGCATGTGCTAGGTGAGTGCTGTATGGCTGAGCCACAACCCCAGCCCCAATAAATATTTCTTAAGTGAATAAGTAAACAAAAATTTGCTTGAGTGCTCCATCCACAACCATTTTTAGAACCTTTTGACTACACACACACATATATATATATAAGAAAAAAAATCCCTTAATGAATACAATAACAGCAACTCACTCTCAGAAGCTTGATGAAATTTCTTATCATTGGCAAAGTATTTTAAACTCATTTGAAGCAAAAAAGGGAGTTATCTAAATACTAAATATTTGATATAGTTGGGCTACAGTATCACAGCAAATATGAACTGCCATACATTCATGAAAGTGGACTGGTAGTTACCTGGGGATGGGAGGAGTGGTTTAGGGGAAATGGTGAGTGACTGTTCATGGGTGTGGGGTTTTTTTGGAGGGATGATGAGAATGTTCTAGAATTGACTGTAGTGATGATCACACAACTCTATAAAAATATACACTGAAAATGAGTGAGAAAATTATGGTATGAGAACAGTATCTCAATAAAGTAGTCATTGAAAGCACCCATTGAACACCCATTTTTTTTTTTTTTTTACTACTTTTTATGCTTACAGAACACTCTTTGAGTGGGCTATACAACTTGACCATCGTGGTGCATGATGCACACATGCTTGCTCTGAGGATTCTTCCAACAGTGTGTAGTCAGCATGAAAGTGGGTGCTGGGCAAGTTCAAAGAAGGAACATTGATGGGCTAGGAGGCTGATGTCCAATGCTCCTGTCCCAAGCCAGGAATAATGAAGCCTTACCAGGCTGGGAGCCACTACTTCAAGTTTCTTGAGATTTTCCACAAGCCCAGCCCAACTTGCTCCCAGTGTTGCCAAGTAAATATGCCACATGTTTAATTATATGTGTTATGTAAGAATCGACATCCTCTGAGAGGCACAGGAGCAACTTATTCAGATACCCAGACATTTTTGAAAGCATTAAGGACTCTAAAGTCAAGAGCCTGAAATTATAAAAAGAAAAACTGGCTATGGGACCTCTATTAGGCGTCCTTTCTATTTCTCTTTTTTGCTTTTGTTGCCTCAATTAAGTCACAATAAGATGATGGGTAGGTGTTGTCTGGTATATTTCAAAACTTCAAAAATTATTTTTATGGTATTCTGATTTGGAAACTTTATATCACAGCTTTTTCCACGAGTCTTCTATAAAATAGAATAATAATAATCCCTGTTTCATAGAGTTGTTGAGAAGACTAAAACAATGTATGCAGTGTGCCTGGCCCCTGGAATGTATGGACAGTGTGCATCCTGCCATTTATTAGTTGTAGAAGAAGTTGGGCAGGTCTAGCACTCTCTAATCTGGACATCCCATCACGTCCAGGTGTGCTTTGTCTGGGCCCGGGTGTTTGGGATGCCTCCCTCCAGCAAGGTGAATCAGAGGGGACCCAGGCTGCTGGACTTTGAATTCCTGCTTCGCTATTTTTTGCCCTGTGACTTGGGGCCAGTTTCCTAACTACCCTATTCCTCGATTTCCTCATTAATACAGTTAATACTTCAATTAAGAAGTAATATATTTACTTTACAGGTTGCCAAGGATTCCATAGGTTATTCTGTAAGTTGTTTGGAAAAGTGCCCAACACTTTGACAGTGTTGATTCACCTTGTGTTAAATAAAAAGATGGATAGACAGCGGGGGTCTGCCAGGGAACAGGGAAGGGCCAGGCTACACGGCAGTCATGATTGGAAACTAGAGGTCAGGCTGAAAATAACAAGTTCTGGGGATTTCTTCCTAGAAGGAAAAAGTGGCATTGGTGGGAAATACTCAGAAAAAAAAATTTCTCAGGACAATAGAATTCCAGCTGTGGAATCCCCCCACCCCACCAGAAACTCTTTGAGATGAGACAGGTACCTATTAGCAATGCTGATGTAAGCCTATGTAGAAACTTGAGATTGGATTATCAGATGAGTTTTAAGGCCCTGTTGATGTGATGCTGCCCTTTGATAAAATCGAAAACATGATTTAAGCAACAGATAAAAGTGGTCAGATAAAAAGAAATTAGGACAGGAACAAAAAATTTCAACTATTTGACTCTTCCTCATGGTGACCCCCCCCCCATTATTTGAAGACTTCCAGCTATAAACCATTTGCCTCTTAAAACTACCAAAACCCAGCCAGGTGCAATAGTGCATGCCTATATTCTCAGCAACTGGAGAGACTGAGGCAGGAAGATGGCAAGTTCAAGGCCAGCCTCATAACCCAACAATAGTTACATAGAAACCTAGGATCCCTTCAAAAGAGCTTTTGGAGAAACTAGGGTTTTTGTAATAGGCCAGTTTCATGTAATATCCTACCTTTGAAAGCACTGTGAAAGTAGTCCTAGTTTGATTACGGAAGACAGAACCACATACCAACTCCTGGTGCAGGTCTCAGATGCTCCCCACTCGCCTGGCTGAAGAGGTGGGGGCTGAGCCCTACATATCAATGTTCAGAAAGAGCTGTTACTCTGAAGACCCCAAATCCTACTCTTCTAGTACACAGCAACACATGGTTCACCTACTCACCCATCTCCCAGCTCCCGTGGCCCACAGGCTGAGGTCTGGGGCTGCTGGTGGCAGAGGTTGCAAATGGGAATGGCTTTGGCAAGGTGGCGTGGGTGACCTCAGCTGCTGGCATAGCCAGAATCTGCATCAGGGTGACTGGCTGTGCAGTTGTCCCTGGAGCAGATGGCCTTTGATAGGCTTTTGTGGTCTCGCCTGTAAGGAAATGGAATTATATACCAGGGCCTGCAAGAGTCTATAGGCTCTTGGAGGACTAGAAATCAAATAAACGTTCACTGAACACTTGCTATGAGCAGAGACCTGTGCTGGCTGCTGTGCAGGGGGAAATCTAGACAAACAGCCTGCAATTCCTGCTTAAAGGAACGTTCAATCTCAGAGCAATAGGCCAACCAACAAACCAAAGACCAAATAACAACAATAAACTTAACTGACAGTTAAACACTATAGCAACATAGACATTGCAGAACATGATTCGTTGCCAAATTAATTTGCCAGGCACCATGAAGAGGGTTTGTGTACTCTATGACTTACTCTTAGAGATTGCATTCTAGCTGTTCTAGTTTAAGTTGGTTCATTACCAGTTAACTAACTCCTCTGGGCCCCAGTTTCCTGGTCTATAAAAACGGGTAATGAACTGACTCCATGGTAAAGGAGCATCTAGATTCGTCTTTTAAACTGTGCTCTTCATCCACATGTGATGACTTGGAATGCTTCCACAATTTGAAGCTCTGCCATATAGTAAGTCTCAATTCATTAGTGATCTGGTTGCCCTGAGGGGATCTCTGAAGGTTCAGAGGAAGAGGAAAAGTGGCTACCCATTGAGTATTGGGGACTATCTTGAGATCCTAGAAGGAGATGCCCTGCAAAATCAATAGCACCTCAGTCCTGGTACAGTTGTGCGTGCCTGTGGGCCCCAGTGGGGTATGCCAGCTTCTGTATCTCTATCTCTGGTGTCTTAGGACTGCTGTAAGAAAACATGTCAAACTTGGTGGCTTACAAAGCCAAATTTATTCTCTCAAAGTTCTGGAGGCCAGAAGTTCAAAATCAGTATCAGTGGGCCAAATGCAAGGCATCTGCAGTGCTGAGCTCCCTCCGGGAGGGTAGAGGATTCAATGTGTTTCTTGCCTTGTCCTGCTTCACCTGGTGGCTGGCCTTCCTTGGCTTTTGTCCTCTTCAAGCCTAGCAGCCTCAATTATTTCTCAGCCTCATCTTCACATAACTTTCTCCTTTATGGGTATGGAATTATCTCCCTCTGCCTCCCCTTGACAAGTGTGCATATGATGGCTTTTAGGGCCTACCCAGGTATTCCAGGGTAATTTCCCCATCTCAAGATCCTCAATCACATTACAACATATGAGAAAATATTCACAGGTTCCAGTGGTCAGGAAGAGGGTCTTTGGGGAATGGGGAGCATATATTTGTCCTGCCACAGTATCCTGGCTCCTGCCTTCACTCTGCTTAGGGATGAGGCACTTTTTTGGTACATGGAACAGTAGGCCAAGGGGGGGTTGCATCTGAGACAAGAGTAAAGGAAATGTCATAAATCAGACAGACAAGGTAATGGAAATGTCAGAAATGTCCCTCTTCGTGGGAACCATCTCACTCACTCTTCACTGTTGTTCAGCATTGTAGATTGCACAGCATCCTGGGAAAGTGGTGTCAGAACCATAGTCCTGTGGACAAACTTTTGGTGGGTGTTCAGATGCATTGCCAGGCACCAGCACCTGCTCCTTTCTCCACTCTGACACTGTCACTTTCTTGAGAATCCCAGCTCTGACCAGGAAGGGCAGTCAGCAAAGAGTGAACCTGGAATTCAGCCATTCAGTCCACTCTGGCAGGCATTAGCCAGTCAAGGCAGGAAGCAAATCCCTCATTCACCTTGATGGTTGCTAATAGTTGGTCTCCTTTAAATCTGTCTGTAGATTGTGCCAGACAAGTCACTAAAGAGTTGGAGGCCACCTTGGGGGGTCAGCTTGCCTTCCAGTCTTCAGGCCATTCTCAAGCAGGACCAAACCTGCCTGATTTATGACATTTCCATTACCTTAAAGGGTCTGAGCTTCCAGAACAAGTCTAGGGAAGTGTTTATTTTCTCCGGAACATTCCCCTGTCTTACACTCAGGAAAATGCTAACAGGCATTGATGCCTCTTTAGGGAGATGCTGGCCCGGGTTTAACCTTCATCCAGGGAAAAGCCATATAACAGAATTGCTTGTACACTTTAGGAAATAGGATATAAGAATTAATTTGAAGAGAAACATGTAAATAAGCTGATGGTACTCAAAAACTTAATTAATCTACAGTATACTAAAAAGAAAACTTCAACTAGCAAATAGTGAACATTTTAAAAGTTATTGCATATTAAAAACAAAAATTATCTCTTTTTTTTTTTTTGGGTACACCATTGGCTAATTCCAAGGCTTTAGAATACCCTATCCTTATTGGTGTGCTCATAATGGTTTGCTAGAGAGAAGTAAAATATCCTGGGGACAGCCAGCAGGTGCTGTCAAACATTTTGTAAATTCAACCAACGTGGCCATCTCTCCGGTCTTCCATGAGCTGTTTCTGCCTGCTCCCCTTCACAGATCTGAACTGGCTTTAAGAGGGGACAGAGAGAGTCACTTTCCCTGCCCCAGCCTTACGAACACAGCGCTTAATCTGGTCCAAAGGGAATTCTTCATGGAACCAGATTCTTTTTGAGCAATTTGAAGTAAAACCCATAAAATAGTTTTTTTTTTTTCTTTCCACATAATCTCAGATACTTGGTCTCTCTTCAAAGTTTCAAAGATGTTCATGGGAAAGCTTTTCAAAACTTCCCTTAGACTCTCTATTCTTTTGGACATAATCAAGAACAGCCCCAGAGAGCTCCTTCCTACACCTGGCCCCTCAGCAGAATCACCGTGGAGGTGTTATGAAGGCAGACTTTAGGGAGCTGCTCACAGACATGTCAACTCACTGAATCTGAGGTGGGAATCATAGCCAGGGCCGGGCTCCACTCTGGGCTCTCCCTACCAGCCCTGCCACTAGAGCTTTCTGAGCCTGGTTCCTTTTGTTGTACCATGGGCATGGTCATCCCTTCCTGGGAAGGTTGTTGTCATAATTAGAGGTCAAGTCTATCGGGGGCACATGCACACCATGCTTGACACATGGCAGACATTCCATAAGTGGCAGCAGCTGACATTTATCCCCATACTAAGTCTCCCCCTCTGCTGGTGGAAAACAGTGTTCTCACTAGGTGTCAGATATGGGGGGAAGTGAAGGAGACGGAGGTCAGAAGCCTGAAGCCGGTAGCTGGTTTAGCAGCAATGTCTGGAGATAAGAGTGCTGGGGGAAGATTTGGTTCTTCCTATCACTAACTCATCCCATGCCTCAGGGTTAGATATGAGGGCAGGAAATGCAATATTCATTGAGCACCTACCATGCGCCACATTTCAAAGTTCTCTTTTACACAAACATACACATTTAATATTTATCATGATTCAGGAAGTTGACTGAAGTCTTCCTATTTTTGAGATAAGGAACAAGTTTTCCAAGGGGTCAAGAAATAGATTTAGGCTCACATGGACACATAGGTAGCAGAGTCAAGATTTGGACTCTATGTATTTGATTCCAAGTCGATGCCTCCTCCCTGCCTCCTTTTTCCATCGAAGGGGGAGAAAGTGGGAGGCAAATCTTGGGAAGGTTTAGGATCCCTAGACGTGGTTTTCATTAGAGGTGACCCAGAGCCCTTTGAGATCTCACAAAGCTATTGTCTTCTATGAGAGGGTGAGGAGTGGCCTTAGTGGGTAGGTTTGGGCAGTGAGGGCAGAGGTTCCTAGAAAGTCAAACTTAGGGCAATAACCTTCAGTTTGGCTTTCTTCCAGGTGAGGGCCTTAGCATTTGGCCAGAGGAGCTGGGCAAGGGGTGGGGGTGGGGCGGTTTCTGGCTGTCTTGCTCAGTAGCTTCAAATAAAGATTTACTTTCCCTTTTCTTTCTATGGTACCAGGAATGTGCTTTTCATTTTTTTTTTTTTTTTTTGTAAATTTCTACAAATGAACACTTACCTGATTTTATTTAGCTCAGAGTAGATGGAAGCTCTAGCCAAATAACAGTTGCCCGCCGGATGCTTGCTAACTGCCTGGGGGAACAGCATGTAAATCTCAGGTACTGTCTGTCCTCAGCGTGAGCTGCACCAGGCAAATCAAGATGCCTTCTATTTTTCGAGTGAGATAATTTTCCGCAGAAGAAGGTTGTTATGCTTTTGGGGGTCGTCCTAACCTGATTTACCTGTTAACTCACATTCTTGGGGAGGCAAGGAATCATTTTACGTGGGCATGCTGGGTCCTGAATGGTCTCCATCCCTTCTGCTTCAGCCAGTTTCTAAAGGAATTTAATCGTTTAAGGCAAAGCAGCAACACGAGGGGCACTCTTTTGTGATTCTCACCGGAATTTTTTATTTGAATTGGTAAAAACCTACTCCATGGTGGGCATGAGATTTTTTTTTTTTTTTAAAGCCTGAGGTCCCTATATCTTGAAACCAGGCAGGACCCCAAGCCTCCCTTTTAGGTTGAAATGCTTATTATTTAGCTCAGGGTCTGGCACACTGCAGGTGCTTAATATGTGGTTACTGTGTGAATGAATGAAGGGATGAACGTAAATCTTGAGACTAGTCATCTAGTGATAAGGAGCTGATAGTAATACTGGGTGAAACTGTTACAGAAAGTTGAAATGGCTTAGTAAAGGGACAAGTGACAAAGCAATGCCTGTTTTAACTGTGGCTTTTGCCAGTTTATGAATTTACATAGCAGCCAATTTCAAAATGAGTACCCAGGCCCACCTGCACTTCTCTGGAATGTTAACAACAGATACCGGGAACAAGCACTTGCTGGGAGTGGATGGTGTTAAGCTTGGCCATGGTGCTGGGGTAGAGGGAAAAGTTTTGGAAATGATCTCTGCTATGAACATAGAAATCAAATGCATTCTATAACACCAGGCATCCTTTGGTTATAATTCCTCTCTCTCCCTCTATGACTTACCAGGTGATACAATCAGAGTATGGGCCAGTTAGGACAATGCCTTGGGCAAGTTACTGAACTTCTCTAAGGACCAGTTTCCTTATCTGAAGAAGCGGAAGACACTGGTACTCTGTCCCGGGGTTATTGCACCGTAGGTGGCACTAGAGAAAGTACTCAGTTCATGGCTGTTGTCATAGAGGTTGTGTGAGACCGTTCCCATGGTTTAGAATTGAGCCAGAAGGGCGGAATGACCCCTTCCTAAACGAGAAGACGTGTCCCTGAACTTCCCCGACGCTGGGCCATTGCAGTACCATCTGTGCCATCACCAACCCCTCCTCTCTCTAGCCCAGTGAGCAGAAGGAAAGGTCCAGAAGAGGGAGGGCTCAGTAGCCAGGTTGTGGGGAGTGCAGTATTCAGGACAAGAGACTATTCCCTCCCTTCCTTCATGTTTTGTCCTCCCCATGACAGAAGAAGGTGCCGCAAGAGTCACTCATCGATGTGCAGGGAAGGGAGCCGGACATCTCACTTCCTGCCCTCTCCCTGAGGCTCAGCAGCACAGGCCCAGCTTATGTGCTGCAGAAGACTTGGCAGGCTTTTAGGAGAGTATCCTGGGAATCTAGAAATACTCTACCCTTTGGGGTAAAAAGAGGAAGTGCTTGACCTGTGGCTCCTGAGGTTAGGGGCTTACTTGAACATGGGACTCACTCTGCTCTAGGATCTCCAAGAAGGGGACCAGAGGGCACCTGGAGTATCCTAGGCCAGCAGTCCTTAAATGTGAAGAAGAGGAAGGTGACCTCACTCTATCCCACAGTTCTGACCTCAAAGGGGACCAAAGGGAACCCTACAATTCCCAGAGCTCATATTCAGGGGCTGCCCAGGAATAGCAACCCTTATTTCACTGCTGTGTACAAGTGTGGATTGCCAGGGGTGGGAGAAGGGGTGGGGGCCCAATGAGAAGGTCTAGGACAGATGGACAGTACCCCTGTGCCCCACACACTTCAACTACTCAGAAATCACTATGTGAATAGAAGTTGCTGGGCTAGGGGAGACAACAGGACACACCTCTTAAGGATGTCTCTGTCATCTGTTCCTCTTCCCTGTGTCCACACTCAAAAAGGACAGGTGCTATCTCAGAAATGGCCCATAAGACTGGCAGCTTGTAGATTGGGGTGGAGAAGAGCTGTATCCTTATAACTAACCACATCATTAAAGATATAGATGATATAAAGATATAGTAACTAGGAAGACAACAACAAATTCCTATTTGTATGTCAACGCTGGTCAAATTGAGAGTTTCTGTATGCACTGGTATTAAAATAAGAAAAGTCTAGGATAGTGATTTAGGGAGGAGTTTTTGGAGCCAGGCTGTCTGGGTTGAACTCTCATCTCTGCTACTTTCTAGCTGTTTGGCAAAACGAGATCACTTAACATCTCTGTGCTGCATTCTTCTCAAACTGTACATTAGTGCTAAGAATAGTACATGCAGATGGTAGTCTGGGGTTGATTAAAGGCAATGATCAGGTAAAGGTCTTGGAACAGTGCCTGGCATACAGCCAGTGCTCAGTAGATGCTAGCTTCCACTGCCATTCTTAAACCTGTTCACTCCACATCCATGACTAGAACCTCAGCTACATCAGCTCATCCTGTAAGCTGCTGGGAGCAAATACCAAATCCCACCAGAAGGCAGGTCCCAGACCACAATCATGCACATGAGTTCTTGATTAAACACTGAAATACGGACAGAGGAATTCCTTGGCCTGAGGTCTACCTGTCCTTGTCTTGCGGTTCCCACGGAAGCCGGGTGGGCACAGTCCTGCAGACAATGTATTTTGGCTGGGGTTGTTCAGATTAGCTGCTCGCTGTTATCACAGAAGCCGCCTCGTTCTCTTTGCTTCCTCCCTTCATTTCATACTAAGTAAATCTGGCTTTTCTCCTTTTAGTTGCCAGGGAACATTTCCAGACAGAATGTCATGTCATCTTCTAAAGCAGCAATGCAGTGAAATTCAAGGCAGCAGTCACTCCAAATGAAAATGGCACAAGCGCAGGGACAATCTCAAATTGTGAAAACAAAAAAATTAAGCCTTCACTCCTTAGTCCCAGATGTCTGCTCCCATTGATGTCCGTGCCATGCTTCTGGCATCGGGTAAAATATCACCAGAGTCAGTGTGGCATGACCAGTTAAGATGTTAATTTCGACACCATCTCCTAAAACACAATATTGCTTATGTTTACAAACTCAGAAAGTTTAGATTAAATCACAAATGAACACTTGCCTGCTTTGGCATCTGGGCTTTTGGATGATGAATACGTCAGAGTTGATGGGTAGGTCACACCCTTTTGGGGTTTACTTTCTGCAAAAAAAGAAAAAAAAAAGATTTATTTCTAGAGCTGGAGATTTTAGATGATTCTATACCGGTAAGTTGATTTCGTCCTTCCAATTTATCTCGAGTTCAATAAAATCAGTCTCCTTTGTACTGACTTGTTGATTACAATAAGAAAGCCAAGTGGCATTTTGTTTTCTTGTATGCCCTGTGTTTTATTAATGTTAGAACGGAAGCAATAAAATCTCCATAACTCAGTCGTTTAGCAGGAGCAACCCTTATTTCACTCATGATGATGTGACCTGTAAGTTAAGGTTTCATGCATGTGGCTTTGAATGCTTAATTATGACAGCAGATGGACATGAAATGCTGCACATTCTCTCCTCCCAGGTGCAAGGGCTCTCGGGTCCCCCACAGGCTATACGTGCATGGCCATCTCTCATTCTCAGACTGCGCTGATCCATTCATACTTTATGCTGGTAGAGAAAACTGAAAGTAGGTAAATATAGATCAGCCTTGAAAATAACCAAGTGTTGCCACCCAGGGAGAGATTTTAGATGCCCAGAGAGGGTGTGGATGGTACTGTCTAACAGGGAAACAATGGAAGCATAAAAAGGAAAAGACATTAGGTGATCGACCCGGTACGCAGCACTAAGCTTGGCAGGATGCAAACTGCCTGAGAAGGCTGCTTCCTGCAAAAGTCTTCTGACCACGAAGAGGAGCTGCCTGAAATTCCAAGGGAGCTTTGTTCTGCAATTAAACTGAGAGTGCTGGTGGAATGCAGTAAGCCCCCCAAAGGCAAATAATTTGTCTGAGTTGGTAGCTGTTGAATTCCCAGGGCCTCAGGCAGTGTCTGGCTTGTAAGGGCTCCCTGAGTCCTTACTCCTGAGGCTGAGGAATGACGCCCAGGCCTCTGTGAGGATTCATACACCCCGGGAGGTGGGTGTCCATTGTGATCTGTTATTTACATGGAATAATGGATGCACTGTGGCTCTCCACCTGAGGGAATTCTTTTATTAGAGGATGAAGGTTGTAGAAGACATGGTAAGGCACAAAAATCCTGGCGGGTGGGACTAAATCTTGCCAAATATCCTATTGGCTCAAGGGATTGTAGGGTCTTAAGAAGTGCTTGGGCCTGGGAGTCAGAAAAAAAATCTAGGCTCTAGGCTTCTGTTTCAGTTTTCCTTTAATTAAGTTGTAGCAGCTTCCAAGATTCTTGTTTTTACATTCAGAAAATATGAGTAATGGTATGGCCACTACTTAACAACACAAAGCTGTAAGAAAGAAAAAAACAGCTCATGGGTGAGACAATGCAAGAATTTTCAGAGGTGAAATGATTGGGTTCTAAGAACTTTAACCTAATTGGTGAATTAATCCTCTGTTATGGATTAACTAGTGAATCACCCGTAGGCAGGTAGGTGTGGCTGGAGGATGCAGGTCACTTGGTGGCATGCCTTTGAGGTTTATAGTTTGTCCTTGGTGAGGAGAGCTCTTTCCTGTTTTCCATGTTCTGAGTTGCTATTCTCCGTCATACCCTTCTACCATGTTGTTCTGCCTCACTTTGGGCCCAGAGCTATGGAGTCAGCCATCTATGGACTGGGACCTCTGAAACCATGAGCCTCAAATAAACTTTCCCTCCTCTGTGTTGTTCTCGTCAAGTCTTTTGGTCACAGAGATGAAAAAGTTGACTAAAACAGTATATTTAATGTATATTGAAAACATATATATCATGTACCTATCTATAAAGATGCAAAAACTCATTCTGGTGTAACCTATAAGTGCCACTCAAAGGCAAAATGAGGCAATACATTGGGGGTTATTGGCTGTAGTCACTTCATCTCATTAAAATCACCTGGGGAGTACAATGTGGCATTTCCAAGTTCTCCACATGGGTCCAAGTATGCTCCCAATAGATGCTAATTGGGGCCATTTTGGAACCCATAAGGGTCCCACTGGCTGTGGGCCACATTTTTATTAACAGAAAGTGATCAGACACATCATCTCCCTCTATTCATGATTCTTCTCACCACTAAAACCTAATGTTTCTGTTTCTATTCAGAAGGAAAAAGAGCGTGAGCTGAGTTTTCTGAAATGTGGATCAAAAACAATTGGGGGTCCTTCACTGACTTTTAAAATCCCAGGACTGTCCAAAGATCATGCTGACCAAAAATGCTCATGCCCCTCAAACCCGGTTTCCCAAAACAAATTAATTATAGGAGCACAGTGACCTGTAAAAATTAGAAATAAAAACCTAGAGAAAGGTCATAAGGATTCTGACATGATCCAGTTAAACTCGTTGGCCATGAACCTCTGAATAACGGGGCGTGCCTTGGCTGCAGCCTTCTGCCGCAGTGCACTCCGTAACTCATCCATTCGAGAGGCTTCCTAGCCACCGCAGAAGCACAGATGTTTATTATCGTTGGCGAAACGTACTTTCGGTTAAATGTCACTAGGAGGAATGAGGGGAGATGGAAGTTGAAATTTATAGGGAATAATCTCAGCAGATTGATTTTCATTTTAAAAACCTAAAGCATCTCTTACTCTCATGGAATTAATTTTTTTTCTTTTAAGCCTCTGGTGGGAATCTTGAGTTGCAAGCTGAGCCCCTTAAGGTTGAAATGCTCTTATTTAACCAGGGGTTACTTGGAAACACCTATGTGGAGATTATATTTCTTTCTGTCTCAACATATTTGTATTCTAGACAGTAGCATTTTCAGATGGTCTGCTCTGAGTTCTGTTACGAGGCAAAGACCCGCAATATTGCAGTTGATGCCCTTCCACTATCTGATAAAAAAAAAAAAACCTATCCAATTTGAACCCGAGTTGTATAGAACCTGGCAGGCAACAGGGAACAGGGATTGTTCAATTTGAGAAGAATCCTCAAAGGTCTGTTTTTAGTTGTATTACAACCTTGACAGTTGGAGGGTGGTCGGGTTTAGGGCATAGGATGCCTAACAATGCTAGAGAACCACCCAGGCTGGAAGACCTAGTATGTTAGGAGACATTTCTCTGCTTCAGTTGCCTCTTCACAGGTGGCTCCTACTCAGGAAAGTCCCATGACAGTTCCAGGAAGATTTGCTAGAATCTAGTTGAAGATCCTGCTGAACTGTCTTAGAGAAAATGGGAGATTCAGGTCCTAGACAGTGGAGGTTTAAGTCCACATCGGAGACTGTGTTGTGCTCAAATGTTGATGGGGAATATGTCCAAAGCCTGAGGGGCCTCTGCTGGCCAATCTCATAAAACGTGAGCACCAATCAGGACAGTGATAATAATATAGTGTATTTAAAAAAGCAATTCACCAGTCCATAGTCCCCATTAAAAAAAAAATGCACAGGTTGGGGGAACGGAAGAAAACTCCTCTTTATATAAGAATACTAGCTAATAAATGTGGAAGGGATGATAGAATTAGGAAAAATTATGATTTTGCAATTACAGTTGTTTCTCTGGATTCCTGAATCTGTGGATTCAACTAACCTCAGATTGAAAATACTTAGAAAAAGAATTATGTCTGTGATGAACATGTATATACTCTTTTCTTGTCATTATTCCTTAAACTATATATATATATATATATATATATATATATATATAACTATTTACATGGCATTTACACTGTATTAGGTATTATATAAGTAATCTAGGGATGACAAAAAGTATATGAGAGGATGTGTGTAGGTTATATGCAAATAGAATACCATTTTATGTAAGGGATTGAGCATCCTGCAGATTTTGGCATCCACAGGGGATCCTGGAATCAGTCCCCATGATACTGAGGGTCTACTGTACTAATATAATTCTTACTACAGCAAGGATGAGCACTGGATATTAAAACTACCAAGTTAAATTTATTTGGGAATCAGTTAGCCAAGTGGTTTTAAAGTATCACTCTATAGATTGTTTACTAATTATGAGTATATTTGTCTGGAGAGAAATGGAATGTAGCCAACTAATCAAATTTACTATCACCAATAATTAGATAAGTCAACACTATGTGCCTCTTGATGTGGCCAATGTGGTATGACCCCATGGATATGCCATATGACCTATCCTTTTCAAAATATTTAACCTGAATCCAATCATTAGGAAGCAGTTGGAAGTGTTTTTCATCCAGATTATAGGACATGCTAGACAACTGACCTGGACTTCATAGATGTCAATGCCATTCATGACCAAAGAGGAAGTGTGGTGGGTGATTAAAGATACTAACTGAACATGACAACCAAACGCAATGCATAACTTTCGATCAGATTGTGGATCCGAATAAAAAATAAATTATATTAAAGATTATTTTGGAGATACTTGAATAAGAACTTTTTATTAGATGCTATTATTATTTCAAGTTTATATTCTGGGTGCAGTAATGGTATCATTGTCATTTTGGAAAACGATTCCTACAAGATGTGTACTGAAGTATTTAGGGATAAAGTGTCATGTTGCCGGCAACTTTTGTTCACATGGTTCAGAAAAAAGTATCCATAGATGATAGATAGATTGGCAGACAGAACAAACGTGGTAAAATATTAGCAATCCATGAATTTGGGTGAAAGAAATATGGGTATTCATTGTACTCCTCTTTTAATTTTTCTGTTAATGTGAATGTTTTCAGAATAAAGGCTTGATTTGGGGAAATTCACAAAAATAGAAAAAGATGGGAAGGCAGGTCATGATAGCACCAAGAATACTAGGTTAGCTTTCACTGGGAAATTGCACTACAGTGGTCATTATAGATCATTGTTATTAACTTTTTGAAAGAGAGAAGAGTGAAAATGATTATCTATAAAAATCTTGTGGCTCTAGATAGGGAGAACTGATTGAATAGTAAAACAATTATTTAAACACAAATTTAAAAAATTGAAACTAAAATTGTGGCTCAGTTTTTTTTTTTCTAAGCACATGCTCCCATTTGTTCAATTTCCAGAAATCTTAAAAGATAAATGCCCAGATATGGGGCATATTAGTCTAAAAAAAAAGACTAGTTTAAAAATATAAATTATTAATGCAATCCACTTTATTAAAAGTTTGATTGTACTTATAGATAGCAGCAATGTGTTTAAAATGAGCAATTTGAGGCTCTTAATAGTTCCAGATTTGACTTTATAGTGATTTATCATGTAATTATAATTCATCGTTTCATGATCTTAGAAGAAGTAGTGCTTTGGATTTTTATGAGATGAAGTGGGCCATCAACAAAAGCTAAAAGCTCATGGAAAAGAGCAAACTTCACCCTGGGAGGTCATCCCAAATGCCTATTGTTAGCAGTGTTTCTCCAGCATGTGGCCATACCTGAGACGATGAAGGATTCTCTCCATCTTGGTAGGGATAAGGACTGAACACCATTGGAGAAACTCCCTTTGTAACCGGACTGTCCTGCCACTTTCTGAACAAGTATTTTTCCTCCTGAATTATCGAGCACACCACTATGAAAAGAAAAAAAAAATTGAAGAAAGTACAGAAATGCTCTTTGACATCCCCAAACATGCAAGCCAGTCTCCATCTTTATGTAGACATACAAAAGCAGTGAGGTTAAGGAAAAGTTTACCCTGACCTGCAGCCAAGCCCCAATAAGGGTGCCTCCATCAACCTAGCCTGGTACCTAACCTGCCAGGTTCAGTGTCCTCTTCCTTCTTATAGAACCCCATCTGTCAGTCAGGAATTGGTCATCATGCCTCAAATTTCTTTTTTCCATGGATTTCTCATTCCTAATGGATTTTCTCCCTTTTTTTTCCTTTATTTTTCTTTTTTGTTTGTTTTGAGTCACAGTCTCACTATGTTGTCCAGTTTCAAGTGATCCTCCCACTTTAGCCTCCTGAGTAGATGAGACTAAAGGCTGCACCACGATACCCAGCTTCTCACTGGTTCTTTCAGGTAAAACTTCTTTCCTGACAAATTCCAATTTTGTTTTGTGATATCATGGAAAGAATCCAGTCATTACAAATGGCAGTATGAAATTATTAATTTTCTTAACAGAATTTATTCCCATTCTGTACTCGCTCCTTCCAAAGTATGAGTTGCTTTAGAGCTCTGCTTTAATTCTAATTCCTTGAAGAGGTATTTTTAAAAAATTATATGGTTGGGAATGGAACCCTGGGCCCCTTGCATGCTAGGCAAGTGCTCTATAATTGAGCAACATCCCTGACCCAGTATGGAGTTATTAAAAATAAATTATTCTTTTCGTTTCAGGCCAGGGAGGGAATATGTGCAGCTAAATTAAACACATTAAAATAGTCCCCAGTACTGGGAGCGTACCGCAATGATAGGATGCGTGCTTAGAATACATGAGACCTGGGTTCGATTCCTAGATCTGCAAAAAGAAAAGTGTTTCCCAAAGACTCAAAATTGTGTTTTTTTAATTTCTAAGATTTCTTCAGGTTTTAAATCCTAATGTGACAGTGACTGACATTTCTATGATGTTTCTTCTTCTCTGTTAGGCAAGGGGTCCACTTTGGTTCCTAAATAGCACTTTCACAATGTCATCTCCTAGCCTCAGAGCCTAATGTGGCTTCTTTGGGTATCCATACTTCATGGCACTGGAGGCAGGGCATGAGAAAGTATGTGGATTTGTTTCTATCGATATCTTCCCCTGGCTCTGGTAGTGGTAGTTGCCATTTCCCTCCCACCTTCATGGTGAGTCAACCACGTTCAACACTCAACTTCCCAATGACCCGGAAGGAAAGAAAGTGATAATAATACTTGACGTGTGAAGCACTTAATTACTTTAAAATCATGTCACGTATGACTTCTCCATGGGTCCTCCCAGCAAACCTCTGAGATATGGAGTGGAGGGAACACTGCAATTCCCACTCCCTAGAAACAGGCTGTTTCTATGAGTGACTGATTCACTCAAGGTCTTGTTGTGAATTGCAAGAGGAATTTGAATCCTAACTGACTCCTAAGTCTAACTGACTCCAATCCTGGACTCGTCCCTTGAGGTCATGCTTACCTCTTAGGGTTCAAGAGCACAGGATCCCCTATGACAACTCCATCTCACTCCCCAGAGTCTTTACTTCCTGCTCTCTCTCCACAATCGGGGGAGTCGGGCTGGACTCTACTCACCTGGCCAACCACACATTTCAACTCATGTGTCTTTGATTATGCTGCTGTTTCCCCTGGAAAATACGGTTTCATGTCTGCCTGACCAGGCCTGAGCAGCTTTCCAGCGGTTGCAGTTCGGAGAATGTATGGAAATTTGTATCTTCATTCTCTGACAGAGCAAAACATGTACATCTATTCCCGGCACCTCCTTTCTTCTACAGATCCTGCCATTGCCTTTCACCCCCGGCCCCCTCAGAATCTTGTTCTCACAACTCCTAAAGAACTTCCTAAAGATTTCTGGAATTAATTTCATGTCTCAACTGAACTGGAAAATTTCTTATGGAAAGATCAGAATCTTATGCCTTTGTGTAGGAAGGCCTATTTGTGGCCTTTGGGCACCAATTTTACCAGTGTTTGGGAGAGGATTGTCATGATTTCAGGATTTTGAGAGCTGATTGACTTGACATTGGTAGCTTGAAATCAACCATGGTAGGAGGAGGTATATGTGGGAAAGGGAAAATCAGGCCTCTCCCCTCCTTGCCTTCTTTTAAAAAGTTGTTTGTTAAAACACTTTCCAGCATACTATTGGCTCAGTCTGAAAATTAGGAGGATTTTTTAAACAATTACCTCATGCTCTCTTTAACTTATAATGAATGGGGAAAATGGGAAATAACACTTACCCTTTTCTTTTTCTCCAGAGAAATCATTCTGCCCTTGGGTTTATATTATATTACACCCAGGACTGCTCTTTTGAGGAACCATGTGCCTGTGCCCACACTCCTGTATAAGAGTCAGGAGCCCTGTACCTGTGACATCCCTTGTGAGGGCTATGGAAGACCGGAAACCCAGACTTTCTGACAATTGTAAATGTAGAACTACAGGTTCTCATGAGATTTGCGTATTAGGGTAGAGAAAGGCCTCATCTTCCCTCCTAATTGGAGGGTGCAGATATTTCAAAATCAGAGAGACTAGACCAATGTAGAAGATATACTAGCGAAGGAGAGAGACAGCTGGGAAAAGGCTGTGGGTCCACTTGTTGGCAGATGGGAGCTCAAAGCGGTTGCAATTTGGAGAATATATGGAAACTTGTATCTTCATTCTCTGACAGAGCAAAACAAGTTCCACTTCTTGGTGTTCCTCAGATGCTCTGCATGGGGCTGCACATGCTGTTGATGTCCACATGTTTCCTGTCCCTGGTACCAGGGGTTAGGGATGAGCTGATTGTAAGTGCCTTGGTTCAGAGAGAAGGAACAGTGCTGCTGTCCTAGGGGTGGGCATTTGGTCAGAAATCAGTGGGAAGAGTATTCTGCATGGAGGTGGCCTCATCATTGCTCCATCTCAGAGAAATCTCTTTTCCCCAGCACTCGGCCCCACTTCAATACAGGGTTAGTTTAGGATAAGACTGAGCCAAAATATAATGTCTCAAATATGTCCATTATCTTCTTGGTTTGAAGGAATCAAGGAGATGACTGATAAGAAAACATATGAGCTTGATATAGTATATAAATGAATTTAAGTTAACCTGAATTTCTAAGTCAACATATGCTCTCTCCTACCTTCCAGTTCTGACTGTGGGGAATTCTACCAGGACAGTGGCTGTAGGTCCCCAATGCACTTTTGACTCAGTCTTAAATCCTACCTCCTGAAAACAGACTTGCTCTTTTGGTAAAAAACAAAGCTAAAGTAGCAACCAAAATTCCAGTTTTTCCTTTTTTGCCCTTCCCAAGGATAGCAATACCTCTTTCCAACGAGTTTTCCTACTGTGCCAGGAAGCCACATGGCATTCAGTTGGTTGAGCAGTCAATATTGTTTCTGAAGCATTCAAGCTCTTTTCTTCCACCTTCAGCTATATTCTTCTCACCAAGCCTCTAGTCCATCCCACACCTGGGACTGCAGAGCCCTGGTCCAGGGAATGCCCTTCCTGTTTTCTTTCCAGGGGTACACCTGTCCTTCATAAAGCCTTTTCTAACTCTGACTCCTGTGAAGTCTACATCCTCCTGGAGTCCTCACTTTGTACATTAAGGGATGCTGAGACTCCCTTGTTCTTATCAAAATGGGTCAATTGGGCTCTGAGCTGGAAGTCAGGAGAAATGAGTTCTAATCTTCAGTGTGCAAATAACGAGCAATTTAATTGACTTCCCTATCACTAATGTCCTCTTTTGAAAAATTGGCTAAAAGTGCTAAAAGTGCCTCATAGGACTGAGTTGAAGTTAGGAGAGAATCATAACACCTGGATTCCTTATCATTAAAAAAATTTTTATTAGTTATAGATGGAGGTAATGCCTTTATTTTACTTATTTTTTTAATATGGTGCTGAGAATCAAACCCAGTACCTCTCACATGCTAGGCAAGTGCACTACCACTGAACCACAATGACATCTTTGGTAAGGTCAAATTTACTCTGTGCCTCTGTTCTTCCTAGGAAATATGGAAGGGTAGGAGAGAGTCAGCAAGTACCACAGTCAGCAATGCATCAACCATCTAGGATCCTAATTGGAAAAATACAGGCCACCTACGGACAGGCTCAGCCTCTGCAGCAGATGTCACTGTCTACACAGACATGAGAGTTGATACAGACACAGATAGGAGAGAGCTCCCAGTGTTGGTGGGCTGTATGGGCCTGCACGAGTGCGTAAAGCTATGTGTGAGCAAGCATGTATGTGCATCAGTATGTGTAGGAGGCATGCATATGGCACAGATAATCACATAGGGCATGCACATGTGTATTTGTGTATGTATGTGTATACACTTATTTTTGGCATGAAATTGACTTTGGGGCAAAAGGGAATTTTTATTTCACAATCTGAAGTTAGGAAACAATGTTTGGTGTCATTTTGTTTACTATTCCACTACTTGTACTTAATAAGTTATCGTAGTCCTGCTGCCATTGAAAAACCAATTAGCTCATGAACCCTCAGCAATAGTGGGGAAAAGGGAAGTATGAATGATCAAATCTACCAGTAATTCCTAAACTTTAGCTTATGTAACTTTATTTTTCCTTACTGTTTACCCTAAAGTTTAGGACATCTACTGATGCTATAAGAAAGAACGGATTTCACATTGTCACCTCTCTTTCTGGCAGAGATAATGATTGAACAAACCATTGGCTTATGTGTAAATACAGAAAAGGAATAAGATACCAGAAGCCTGAAGAATCCAGAGACCTCATCCGGCATCCAGTTGCTGAGCATTGACTTGGGAGTCACCTCTCAAAGTTGTACTGGCAGCGTTAGGAGCATGGGCACTGTAGCTGGCTGGACTTGGGTTTGAATCTCTAGCTGATACCTTTAAATAGGGTGGCTTAATCAAGTTATTAACTGGTCTTCATCTTTAAGAGGTGCATAATAGTAGTAGATACCACTTAGGAGAATTGTGAAGACTAACTAAGACAGCCCAGGTGAAGTGCTGGGCCCATATGTGCCAGCCTTATCCTCAAAGTTATTAAGGAAATATGCATTCCCTTGTGTGTTGACCCCAAACTTACGAAAAAGCAGTCTGAGGATTTTGGGAAGATCACTTTGCATATCTCCTCATTTGAGAAGTGACTTAGTTCAAAGCATGCCCTGTTTCCTGTCCTCCTTCCTGGATCTCAGACCAACACTGGACCAGGTGATACCTCCCACCACCCTTCTTCTCACTTCTTTGTCTCCAGGCCATCACTAGAAGCATGCTGACATTTTTTCCTTCAAACTTCTGGGCATTCTTTGGCCATATCCCTCTCATTTCCTTGCCTAGCACATACAGGTAGAAACAAAAAATGGCTTTGATTTGCTTTGGTTTCCTTGTCATGAACTTAAAAGAGTAGAACTCTTCCCTCCCTATTAAGGTATAAAGAGAAGTGAGCTGTCTTTTCTGAGAGTGTAGTGGAAGGAGATGCAGGGCCACATATGACGTCTGGGTCCTCCCTTTGGGATGTAGTTGCCAAATAAAATGCAGGACGCTCAAATTTGTATATTTTTGTTTGCTAAATTCAGCAACTCTGCACCGTTGGCTCCCTGTCAGCACCTTGATCGCTAGTTATTAAGTAGCTCAGAGCCACCCACCTGTGTACCGCGGCACCACACACACTGGAGTAAGACGCGTAGATTCCAGTGCCATAAACGTGGTACTTGGGGTCTTGGCATCCTGCTGGACATTTCACAATGAACTCAGGATTGATTATCTTTCCAGCTTTGACATCACAGTTGATCTGAGGCACAGCTGGGAACAGAAAAGGAGGTCAAAATTACAACTGTTGTATCAGCTTATATATGAGATGACTCCGTTAGGTTGTAAGTGTTCATTTGCTTAATTTCTAGAAGTCAGAACCTGGGCTGACCCTGCATCCCTTCCATATAATGAAGGCAGAGATGTGAATAGAACATTCCTCAGACCAAATGCACAACAATGTCCACCCATTGCATTCAACCTGCTAGGAGCAAAAATTTATTCCTGTGCTTATTTGGACAATTAATTAATTTAAGAAGAGAACTCTGGGAAAAGGCCCACTTCTAGTGACCAGAAATGTAATTTTGAGTCAATAGTGGGAGGGTACTGGGTTTTCAGAATCTGTGTTGTTAGCTCAGAAAGAGAAAACTGTAAGACAATCTCACATGAGGAAGGAAAGCTATTCCAGGAAGGGCCAACAAAGAAAACATAAGTCTTGAGGTCGGAGATGACTGGGGAAAGCCTGGTGGGAGGGCAGTGGATTGATGGGGCTGCATCAGATTCAGGGGGTTGAAATGCTTGTGTTCTGTGTAGGATGTGGGACACCAAGGAAGGTTTTTGGACTGGGAGAGATATGATGAAAGTGACCTTGGTCCTAGAGGATTCTCTAGGCCTAGGTGCCAGGCCACTATGGGAGTGATCTTTTCTCATTTGCTTCAACACTTTGTGGAAAGCTGGGAACTCTCCTGATGAACATCCAGGGAAGCTCATCCACTCTTTTCTCCCTCTCTTTGGCTTTGTTACTTCTTGCAGACTAGTGCTGTGCAATAAGCAAGTCTTCTGGAGTTGAAAGCTTGCCTGGGGGATCAGGTGGAAGACATGCTCTATTAATAATAACTAAAAAATGATGGGGTTGCTCTTCCCCACAAAGATTTCCCCTCAAAAACTCCTGAAGTAAAAGGTCCCCTAGGTAAGACAATCCTGGTGTCCTTTAAGATGGAAATGTATCCGGTCCTGGGCCCCATTCTTCAGAAGAGACTCTGCAATATAAGCCCAGTGGTGATGGTCCCCAGAAAAAGGTCATTTCAACCATGAAAAGGCAAGAATTTGGAAGCAAGTGCGACTGTTGTGTGCTGCGACACTGGAGGGCTGAGCTAGAACTGAAGGGGTCAACTTTCCATAGAGGCAGATTTTGCCAAGAACTTTCTAGGAATTGGCATTGTCCTTAAAGGAATGGGCTGCCTCCTGAAGCAGTGAATCCCCATTGGTGGAGGTCTGCAAGCAGAATGGTTGGAGAGGATTTCTACATTGGGTGGGAGGTGGAAATAAAACCTCTCCCAGTGCTAAGAATCTGTGATTACACGCATGGATCCAGGAGCTCTGCCAGGCCACCCACCCTCTAACTGAGTTACCAAGATGGTCTCAGAGTTGCTAATGGGTTCCAGCTGTTTCCAAAAAGCACACGCTTTTTTTTTTTTAACCCTTATGTACCTGAATGAGCTCAGTTACATTTCCTTTGGGCTAGAGAAAGAACAGAAATTAGAACTTCTGCTCATTTCTTACACCTCCCAGAGGAGTTTTGCCACTTAGGGCTAGGCCAGCAAGGTACTCCTTCTGGGAACAGGGGCTGAATTTGATCACAGGCTTAAGCAATTTGTGGTCTATATTAAGAAGTGGAGAACCGTGATTAAAACAGTTGGTTTCATTCTCCTTACCAAAGGTTGTCTCCTCACCACTGTTATTTCCTTTATACCTTTTGTGCCTTTCAACTCTGACACTCGTGGCTGCATTTACTGTTTTGGGTCTAGGAGTACATTTTTTAAGGCAATTTTTGGGGGTTGAAAATGCCAAATCAGCTAATTGCTTGGTCCCTAGGTGGAACTGGAGCACGTTCGATTCTCCTTTCCTTCACAGATCACTTACGCATTCCCAAATGCATCTCCTCCTTTAGATGTAAAGAAAATGAAAAACTTCTTTTGGATCTCAGTTCTTTGAAATAGGAAGTAACCAGTCCTGTGACCTGGAATTACATTTCTGACATAATTCAACACTTGGAGATTTGGGGTCTCCTGGCAGGTCAACCAAATCTTTTGGGATTGAGTAAAGGGGTGTAAATCCAGAAGCTTCTGCATGAATAAAGTACAATGACCAAACTTGTTGAAAGACTTCCTGGTGCACACAGTACATGTGGTAGGATTTTCCATGAAATAGTTGGCTTAAAAGACAAGGGGAAAATGCCACATGGGAATATTTTGCATCCTGCTAATTAATTTCCCCCCTTCCTTGGAGGGGCATTTGTTGTTTGGTGTGTGTGTGTGTGTGTGTGTGTGTGTGTGTGTGTGTTAATTACAATGCCTAGAAAATATTTTGAATAAGTTTTGCTATATTTGTACCCAATAGGACCAGCAAAATTGGTGGATGAACTCATTAACTTGAAACAAAGAAAATTAAGCACCTAGGCTCATGTACTTTGGAAAAACACCAAGCGAATGGCAAAGTGTGGTTAAAGGTCAAATATTTGTTAAATTTGTACAGAAAATTAAGCAGGAGAGAATGAACTAATTAAATTTTGCAGAGTAATTGCCAAAATCATTGGAAAGTGTAGTGCACGTCCAGCCAGAGAAAAAGCAACCATTTGTATCTTTCTAGCGGCTCTTCTTTAAGAATATTTTAAAAAGGCTCATTTCTCTACAGTATTTCCCCAGTTATATGTGAAGTAGTTTGTTTTCTTTTAACCATCAAAGATTCTTCCATTCCTCCACTTGGTCTTTGCATTTCCTCTGAATGCTTTTGAACTATTCAATGCTTACGAGTTGGGTTTTCCTTTCTCTCTCTCTTTTGTTGTTTAGGTTCTTCTTCTTCTTCTTCTTCTTCTTTTTTTTTTTTTTACATTTTCTTTTCTCCTCTGCATTTTATCCCTTAAATATAAAAACCAGACTTCCTTGAGAGGACAATTCAATAGCAAGGCAGCTCAAGAAGCATCATTCTCAGGCCTGAGAGGAGCAGGCTGACATTTTGACTGATGTCCAAATAGACATTCAGAGAGGAAGGCTGTGTCCCCGTGGCTAACCTCAGGTAAGAACTTATTTGCAAGTTCCAAAAAGATCTGTTACCAAGAGCACAGGGGAAAAGCAAGACAAAAGCTTCCTCCATTCCTTCTGGAGTGTGCTGTTTCTGGTGGCAGTGAGGAAGACCCCAGGCTGTGGTCACTGAGGACAGGGGAGTGCCCACAGAAGCCTGTGCTTGGCTGTCTGCTCTGCTCCTCCCTATGTGTCCTCACCTTCTCCTTTAGATGGTTCCTTACAGTTTCCTGGCCTTCTTATAGTCGCTATCATTTTCATGTCAGAGTTCACGTAAAAGCATCTCAGTATGTGCCAAGGGTTCCTTCCCAGAGGTCTTTGGAATCAGCCACCAGGAAAAGGGAAGAACCACTTGCAAACTAGATAGCTAGAGCTGCAGGATTACTCTAGACACAGGTCCAGATATCAGTAGCATTGATCTCTTAGTGTTCTTGGGCAGAGGTCACACCTCAGAACAGAGAAGAGGTACCATCTGAGCCACTATTTTAATATTGCACATGCTTCTGCTGTGGGTTGGGTCTCCTGCCAGGGCTAGTAACAATGATTAGGTGAAATAACACAGAACAAGCCAGGTATGTAGCAGGTAAAATCAAACCATATTTTCTTCTTACTTTGCCATTCATCTTTTCAATGATCCCAGCAATGTAAGCCAATTGCTTCTGGGGAAATGTTTTTCCTTATTAATTACAGAAAGCCTTTATAGGCTTGTCTCATTGATGGTAATGAGGAAGAAATATTATAACATAGAAACACTTATGCACAAAAAGTTTTGATTTTGATATTAAGCTTGATTTTGTTGGACTGTGATATTCAACCAGTGCAAAATCCCATTTTAAGAGAATTATGCAAAAATTGTTAGTTTAATGAAATAAAAATGACTATTAATTTGAAGATGAATGTGTCTTCCTTCTTGGTTCTGAAAACCAGTGAACAGGTCATGCTTGAACATGTCATGCTAATTCTTCCCTTATACCGACTTTCTTTCGCAAAACATTCTTTTCCATTTTTCTTAAACAGTTTCTGATCATGGGAAGTCTTTGCTCAAAAATCATCAATAGCTTCTGGTTGCCTTTAAGAAAATCTGAAAGTCCTTAAGACCTTTCCACAGTCCCTTCCACACAATTTCTGGGCTTGCCAATACTACTTCCTAAATGCGTGCTGCTTTCAGACTTGGCTTCTCACCCCTGGAATGCTTTTTTTCTTTCACCTACTTTTTCAAAGTCCCAGTCCCAGTTACAGCTTCATGCATCTACTAGAATATAAACTCCACGAGGGAGGGGATTTTTGTCTGAATTGTCCATCAATGGATATAATAGAATACATGAATGAACAAAGCAAATCCATTGGAAAGCCCTCTTCTTTCATTTCTAAATCTGCTATTTCCCTCTACCTTCACTTGGTCCAAGTCACGGGCATTTCCTGTCTGGACTGTTAAGACAGCAGCCTCTGTCGTGGCTTCTTCCTTCCAAGCCTGCCATCCTTTGCCCCAATCCTTTCTCCATTGGACAGCCACTGGGGTGCCTTAAAAAATGGAATCAGATTATATCTTTCTTCTGCTCAAAACTCCTCATTGGCTACCTATTACTCCTAGCTTAATGTCCAAACTCCATAAGAGGGTCTACAGCCTTACAGCATTTGGCCCCTGTATGTCCCTCTACTTAATCTTCTGCTGTTGTCACATGGATGATGAGACTGTGCCGGTCAGAAAAGGCCTGAGAGAAGGAAAAACCAGGGCAAAACCTTGATGTAGAAATGGACTGAATGGTTTGAAGAACATTAAAAACCCCTGTGTGCTGGAGCATAGTGAGTGAGTGGGGAGAGAGGTCCAGGGTGAGGCCTAAGAGGTATCAAATTACATGGGAAGTAGACAAATGAATAGTCCCACCACCATCAATACATCAATTATTCAATTATTACCACTAGTCTTTTTGAAAGGACCCTCCCCCCTCTTTTGGTATTTTTGGTATTAAGGAT